TAACCTTAGAGATCTCATCTAGTCTAATCCTCTCATTTTACAGATAGGGAAACTGAGGCCCAGATGCCACACTGTAACAGCCTAGTGTGAGGCTATGATTTTCCCAAGGTCACACAGGTGATAAAGGTTTTAAATGACAAAACCAAGATTGGAAATTAGGCTCTTTGACGCCAAATCAGTGTACTACAGTGTTCTTTCCATCACAGCACACTGGCTTAAAGAACAAATATTCTACCCAAAAGGGAATGAACCCAAAAGGGATAAAAAAGGTACACAATATATTGAGATTTGTCATTGTTTGCTGTTTAGTCATTTCAGTCATATTCAACTCTCTGTGACCCCAGTTGTGGTTTTCTTGGCAAAGACACTGGAGTGGTTTGCCATTTCCTTCTCCAGCTCATTTTACAGATGAGGAAACTGAGGCAAACAGGGTTAAATGACTTGTCCAGGGTCACATAGTTAGTGTCAAATTTGAACTCAGGAAGATGAGTCTTTCTGACCATTCTATCTACTTTGCCACCTTATACTGAAAAGAGAAAGGCAACTACAGAAAGATCAACCTTGCAGCTTCCTTTCACCTTATGAAGCCACATTCTTGATGTTTGTTGAATTGCAACAAATACCTCCTAGGCCCCATCTCCCCTTACTATCCTCAGCAGCAGCCTTTCCCTTATGAAGCTCTGGTTAATAAAATTCCTATTAGTTATGTCCACATATGTCCCTACGCAATTGAATTCTAGTTTCAACTCTACTGTGACTCACTTCACTAGACCTCAGTTTCCTCATTGAAAACATGAAGGAGTTTGGATTAGTGAGCTCCAAAACCCTTTCCAGCTTTAGAATTCTTTAATGTATAAAGATAAACACAACTGAAAAACATTCATCCATGTTATACTTACCATTATAGTGCCAGCAATTAGGAAACATTACCTGGAGAACGAATGAATGAAAAACATTTATTAATCACTGACCATGTATATTTGTCATTCAAAGACCTTCATAACCCTGCACCCCTTTCCAGTCTTCTTACACCTTATTCTCCACCCCTCCACCTCCCACAAACTCTGGGATTTATTGACACTGGACTCCTTTCTATTTCTCAAACAAAACAGTCCATCTCCCAACTGTGGACATTTTTACTGGCTGTCCCTGATGCCTGGAATTCTTTTCGTCCTCATTCCCTGGCTTCCTTCAAGTCCCAGCTAAAATCCCACCTTCTACAAAAAGCCTGGAGAAGGAAATAGCAAACCACTCTAGTATCTTTGCCAAGAAAACCCCATGGACAGGCTTGGAAGTTCTTCACAGGAAGACTAGGACATGATTGAATGTCTGAACAATAACAATTGATAGGAAGCCTTTCCCCTCTTCTCTTAATGCCTAATTCCCTCTGTTGATAATCTCCAATTATATATCTTGTTTGTACATAGTTGTTTGCAAGTTGTCTCCTCCATTAATTAGATTGTGAGCTCCTTCAGATCAAGGATTGTCTTTTGCCTTTCTTCCTGTCCCCAGCATTTAGCACACTACCTGGCATATAATAGGTGCTTAATAAATGCTTTTTGACTGCCCAACACTATGTTAAATATGATGAGGATGCAAAATATCCCTGACTTCAAGGAGTGTATATTTTAATGGGAGAGACTACATATATGGCAAGTGATGACCAAGGAAGGAAATTATGGTCAGAGCACAAAGATGGTGAGCCGAACAACTGGGCAGTCAATTGACATATCCTTTCTAGGATCAATGATGAAGTTGACTTGATTACATTTCTTAGAGCAAATCCGAAGAGAGCAGAATTTGAAGGCAGAGGACCTTTGTTTGAGTGCCAGCTTCACTGCTCATTATCTGTCTGATGTTATCCCATATCACAGAGGCTCAGTTTCTTTCCTCATCTGTGAAATTAGGGGTTTGAAATAGATGGTCTCTGAGGCCCTTTCCAGCTCTAATTCAATGAACTATATCCTTAAACATACATAAACATGTGTTTATGTTTGTACACATGCAAAACACAAATTATAAAACATATTATTAAAAAATATACTACGTCTATGTGTACAAAGTATTTTTCTGACTGCTATATCTACTCATTTAACTGGTCCAAAGTCACTTAAAAGAAACAGCCAAAAAAGATTTCTGAAAAATCACTTAGTTAAATGCTTACAATGATCCCACCTTCTTTCTCTCTTTATTGAAAGAAATAACCCCATCTGGAGCAGCTGCACAATTTATTAAAATCAATTTAATATGGATTTTTTTAAAAAAGGCTTTGATTAATGACACATTTATATATCACTTTCAGATGCCTCTCTAAGGAATTTTGAATATTGATAAGGAAGGACTGACAGGGCTGCTGGGAGCATGAGAGAGAAGCATGGGTAGAGAAATTTGGCCCCAGTGCCTATCTCTGCTTTGCATCTAGTAAATGCATAATAAATGTTTGTTGAATGAAATTGGATAGAAGGAAGAAGTGAAGCTGAATGAGGCCAAGGCTGATCCTGTTCATTTTGCTAAACCTCTGTAACCAAGAACATTCTCCTTGTGTCAGAAGGGGCAAGAACACACTGTTTGTTTGTCAGCTGTTTATAAGAGGCGGAAAGGAAGAAGAAGAAGAAAAAAAAAAAAAACTATGTCAAAGGGATAAAAGAAAGGCTGGTTAATATGCCCAGACCGGCTGCTGAATGGATCAGAGCAAAGCGAAAGGTCACATGGTTACAAAAAAGGAAGGGGGGAAAAAAACCTTCCTACAACAACTGCCCTCTAGCTATGGTTAACTTTAATTAACTGCAGTATTATAATTCACTTTCAACTCAGGTTCCACCCTCTTTCGCTCCCCGTTCTTTCCTAGGTCTGATCAAACCAGCTTCCTCCTTGGAATATTTTGTTTTTCAATCATGATTAATACCAATAATGGAAAAAACCAATGAAGTTCTTAAAGGGCCCTTAATTACTGCTCCCTTTTACTACCGACTGGCACTAAAGCATGGCTTTTAGGAATGCTTTGCAGACTGCAGAGCTCACACTGAAGAGGCTGGTTATGCAGTCAGAATTATACATATATCCGTAGATCTTTGCTTCCAAGCATGCCTACAAACACACTTGATGTGTAAACGTGGAGCCTGTAAATTTCAGCTAATATGCATGGTTAAAAACTGTGAGGGCAGCTAGTAATTCCAATTCATGGTGGGTAAACTATGCCAACATTATTGGGCTTCTCATTGCAGCAGGTCACTCAGTTTTAGATACAAGCATATTAATATGGGAGGGGAGTGTCATCTTCCAAGATTATTAGGCCAAATGGACTTTATTTTTTTATTAATGAACTTTTAAGAAAAATCAGTTCAGGTCTTAGTAAAATAAAAGGTGCAAATGATAGTCAAGCAAATGGGTTTTCAGAATTAACTGTGTGCTATGCACTGTCACTCCAAGTTAATTATCTCAAAGGATGAAAATAGGTTTTGTGACTCATAAGCAACAATAAAACACTTGGCATTAAAAAAAATGCAAGGACATTAAGTCTCAGGGCACACACACACACATACATCTATTTCTATTGGTGGAAGAGATGAAAACGGTACTTACAAAAAAGAAATCAAATTATAATACTGGAGCTACAGTGCCTAGCCCAGATATATAAGGGGTATGCACAGTCATCAAGCTCTGTGTTCAAGATTGCCATCCTTTCCAGTATAAAGGTTACAGGGAACAGGAACTAAAAATGATCCTTAAGGCTAACCCAGACCCTTCCCTGAAGCATCTGGAAGGCCCACAGATTCCACCCCCCCTGCCACCCGCCAAGAGTTTCTCCCTCTCCCCTCCCCCCTTTAATTCAAGGCTCCACTTATTCCAATTGGCAAAGTTGGGGATACTTTGGTCTTCCCTACTCCCCAACCCCCATCCCCAGGAATGGGGAATGAGGAAAGGAGTGCTGAGTGATCCATTTCAGATAGTATCTCAGGGCTTTATTTTGTTTCCCTAGCTGTGGTTTTCTACCCTTCTTCCCAGGAAAAATAGAAAGTTTCAAACTAGATTTGCTTTCTTTACCCTGGAGCATGAAGGTAGACGAGCCCCAGGGTAGACTCTGTCTACGGATCTCAGTCCTCCTAAAAGGTCCCCCTCCCCCACCCCCAGCCAACACCAAGAAACTGTCACTAAAAAGTTAATTAGATGAATAATCACATTTGTTCACTGACAGGACGAATGGAATTTATTGACCTTTCTCCACCTTAAGTGCTCTCCAACCCCCCCAAACTCCCACTTCCTGGTCAGTTAAGTTTTCCACCTTTAGAAATGCTTATCAAAGCAAGGGAACAAAAGTTTAATAAATTAGGTGAAAACTGCTCCTTCCCAAGGAACAAACTATCAGCTGGAAGCTGCCATAAGCCCCCTCTTGGGCTTAGCACAATTACATGCTTCTCAGTAGTCTGCATTCCTCCCTCTCCGCCACCCTCCTCCCCACTACTCCTTGTCAATTTTCAGCTCTGAAATCCTTTTGTTGTTAAAAGCAGAGTATAAATTTGTTCCAATCATACCTACCGATATATCCAAAGTTAGACCCACCCTGGTTGTCCCCAGATTTGTTAGAGCTCCCCAGTCCTAGACAGATCTTGTAGAATACTAATAATAATGATGATGATGATGATGATAACCATCATAACCACAGATTGAGAAATCCCTACAGCTCTAGTAACAACGCCAGTTGCAACTGGAGAGCTTCAGGAGAAAACAAAGTGGAGAAATCAGTAAACAGAAAATGCTTAGTCAGCAATTGCTACCGCTGCATTAAAAGGTGAAATGTAAATAGGCATGGTGCCAAGATGTAGATAAGTTTAGATAACACGAGCGCAGCTTTTCGTAGATGCCACAATTAAGGACTTCTCAAAGGCAGACATGTTTTTGTTGCATACTTTGGAGGCTTTTAAATAACGAAGGGAGGGGGCGGCCCATGTTTTGGAGCAGTCGCCTTAGCACTGAGAAAAATAAACTTGCTACTCAGGAAGTATTAATATCAATTGAATTTATTACAAGTTACTAAGCTCCAAGGCACATTACAGTGTTCTGTTAACTACAGAAATGTATAAAGGACAAACAGAGCATGTTTTCCATGTACAGCATTTTGCTCTACTGCTCAAAAGCATCCGTGCATCAATAAAGCAAAAACAAAAACACATGAAGATTAAAAACGTTCAGATCAATAGAAACAAACTGAAACAGTTTTTTTCCCTTACAAACTTGCAACAAAAAACACCCTCCCCCCCTCCCCAGCCCCACCCCCAGACTCCCCCTCCCTCACTGTTTTGCAAACAAAACAAAACAAAACAAAATTAAGTGAAGACTAAACACTCAGGGCTTGGTAAAACAGAAGCTGATCACCATTTTTGTAGCAATTTTTTTTTTTAGGCATCAACACTGGCCTTGGCAAGAAGTAAAAGGTGTTTTTCTTTTTTTTTCTTTTTTTTCCTTTTAGAGAAGTGCATAACATTTACAAAAATACACAGCAGCAGCAGGTAATTGCTAAGGGCTAGTAAATGTTGTACCTAGGCAAACACACTGCCACCAAATAAATGAGAAAAAACAGGTATTGTGTAAGTAACCAAACAATATTATATTCTGTTTAACAAAAACCAGCTCTATCCTTCAAATGAAGAAGAGTTACATACCTTTGTTTCAAAATATAGAAACATACGACGAAAATAATGTCTATACATAAGACTAACTTTTTGCAGTTTTGTTATATTCACAATTCTACATCTTCGTGGTAAGGGGAGGAAGGGTTGTAGACTAGGAGGGAGTGGGGGGGATCTGGCTTGGAGGAGACTGGGGGTAAGGTTGAGGCCAAAAGGGGATTTTGCTGGGTTTTAAGGGTCTCTCTCTTTTTTCACTTTAACGTCCCCAGCTAAGATAGTCGCGATTTCCCCCTGCATGAAAGCCCACGGTACGTTAGAACCGACCAAGGGGCATTTCTCGCCACTGGGGCAGTATACCTCGCCGGTAGCCCCCTGGGCCTTGATGCTCTCCCTAGAACAGGGGAAACAGAACTTGTGGCTGGGCACGGAAGGGCATTGCACAAAGTGTGTGTCCTCCAAACGTTCGTGACAAATGGTACAGCACAGGGGGCCGCTGTTGGCCATGGGGGAATCAGGAATGTTTTGGGGGTGAACTTGGTCCATGCCCGGGTGGGTACTGGGTGGTGGGGGTGCCACTTGTAAGTTTATATCCCCATTTCGAGATGCCAAGCGGCGTTGGGCTGGCACCGAGGCCGGTGACACAGGGCTGCTGCTGTTCCTTCGAGTGGCCGTAGTGGAATGCACTGAGCTGCCGTCCTTGGGCGAGTGAGCATTACCCAGCGTGTCGGCCACAGACATGAGGGCCGCCATGGGGGACTGGCCATTCTGGGGGGCTGATTCGGGTGGGGTGGTCCGGTTGGAGAGGGGCCCCAAGGGAGGGGGTGGGGGCGGAGGCGGGCCCCCAGCTCCATGCACTGCCCCGAACCCCCCAGCCGACATGGTGAGCTTCAGGGCCTCGCTTTGGCTGGCCATCCACTGCTGGCGCTGCTGCTCCTCGCTCAGCTTCAGCGCCCCCTCGGCCGAGTCCGGCGGCTCCGGGGACGCTTTCCTCTTACGCAATCCAGCCGTTCCCCCACGGTTGGAGGCGCTGGCAGGAGGGAGCACCCCAACGACTCCCCCGGTCCCACCTGTGCCTCGAGGATGGGTGACCAGGGCTGTGGGCAGCATGGGACAGCTGGCGTCCAGGTAAGGTTGAGGGAGCATGTCTGCCCCGGGGACTCCCTCCTTGAAGAAGCGCACAGATTCGGGCAGCAGGTCCCCCAGTAGCCGCCAGTCTCCCGAGCCATGTTTCTTTTCGTACTCCAGGTACTTGAAACCTGAAGACAGGCCGCGGCCGAAGTCCTTCATGCAGTCTTGATACATCTGCTTGGCCACTCCGGATGCGCTGGAGAACACGTTGCCCGAGCCTGTGGGATATTCAATAAAGAGCTTGAGTTCGTAGTCCAGACCCGGTTTGGAGACCGCGTCGAAAGCAAAGACGCGGCCCAGCAGCGAGTGGTCCTTCTTGAAGCGGACCTCGTATGGGGTGCAGCCGGCCAAAGTCAGCAGGGTCTCTCGTACCATCTTGGGCTTGCTGGCCCAGTCTTCCGCCCGGTTGCGGAGGCTCTCGCTCAGTTCTGCCAGGGCCTCCGCGTTCCGCTGCTTCTCTTTTAACTCCCGTTCCTGGTCGGTACTGGACACCGAGCCAGGCCGCTTGCCCCCACCGCAGGCCTCTGAAGATGAAGAAGAAGTCGAAGACGACGAAGATGAGGAAGAGGACGAAGAGCCAGCGGCCACGGTGGTCCCCCCAAGGCAGGAGGGACCCCCGCCTCCGCCCACCCCGGAGCCCTGCGGAGGAGGGCGGCTGCCTAGCCCGTGGGGAGGGGGCAGCACAGCTGCTCCCGGCCCATTGAGCAGCGTCTGAGGAAGCAGGTTGGGGGGCACGTTCAGGGGACCCCCGCCGCCTCCACCACTCCCACTCCCAGGGGGTAGCCCTGTCACCAGCCCCCCGTGTGCCCCTCGGCGGGAGGACGAGGAGTTGGGGCTTTGGCGGTTCAGCTCCGGGGGCCCGTCCTCAGGGGACGGTTTGGGAAAGCCATTGGGGCCGCCCAGCCCGTTAGGGAGCCTGGCGGCGTGGCCGCTACCCCCGCTGCCCCCTAGGTTTCCCGGGGGCGGAGGGTACTCGAAGCGGCTTCGCTGATCGACCGCAGCTGCCGCCGCAGCCGCCGCCGCGGCGGCCGCACTCAGACCGTAGCGCTCTAGGCCAGACGGCGCGGCCAAGACGGCGGCTTTTGTAGAGCCGTCAACGTGGTTAAGCTGCTGCTGCTGTTGCTGCTGCTGCTGCTGCTGTTGCTGCTGCTGCTGCTGTTGCTGCGCCGCCTCCTTAGCGGAAAGGGCCACGGTTTTGACCCCGACCGGCGGCGGCGGCCCGGGGGATCTGCCGTCTTGGAAGCAGCCGTGGGCTCGCTTCAGCTGCCGGGCTGTCTCGATCACAAACTCGATGCGGTCTGCACCCTCATAGTTGACACAGCCTCGACACACTGGCTCTGTGAAGTCCCAAATCATGGCCCAGGGCATGCGGGGCAGGTCGCACAGGTAACAGGACTGTCTCCGAGAGGAAGCCACCTGCGCCGAGGACATGATGCCGGCCCGGGGGAGGGAGGGAGGGGGAGGGGAGGGGGGAAGGGCAGATTGGTCCCTACTCGCCCAGGCTGCTGTTGCTCTTTCTCCTCCGGGGAGGGCTGGCGGGCGGGGGAGGAGTAGAGAAGGAAAGGGGAGAAGATTCTGCCTCCTGCCACTCGCTGCCGCTGCGCCTCTCGGCGGTTGCTCCACCACCTGGGTGGCAGAATAGCTGCCTCCTTGCCCCCGCCTCCTATTGCAGCTTTGTGGTCGAGGAGGGGAAATCTGTCGACTTCTTCCTGGTGGTGTTGCCCCTGGGACAGGGGTGCTGGGAACGAGGTAGGGGGTGGGGTAGGGTAAGAACGTAGTGCCCCGCTGTTACTGTCACTGCTGCCTTTCCTTCCTACGGTTTCTGTCCTCGTCCCTGGGCAAGGGGCAGAGAGGCGTTAAGGGCTACCGTACTCTACCCTCGGCTTGTGTCCGTTCTCGCTGGCTGCCGCTGCTTCTCCGGAGGGAAGAGGAACAAGAGGAACGGAAAGAGTAAGAGGAAGGGAAGAGAGAGGGCAACAGGAGAAAGGGTTTAGGGGGAGCCGCTGGCAGCCGTCCTGGCCCTCCTGCAGCACTGGATGTTCCGCCTGGTGGCTGTAAGCTTTTGCACACGCTGAGCCGCCGCCGCTGCTTCCCGGACGCACACCAGATGAAAGGAGCAGCCTGGGGTTCAACAGCCCCTGGCCCCGTCCCCGGCTGCCGCGGCTGCCGTAGCTCACGTAGGGTGCATGGCTCTCCGTCGGTTCTGCCTCTTGTCACATCCCGTTCGGAATTGGAATGTGGGGATTGTGATTGTTACTCTACGTTCCAGAGGCGCGTCTCGCGCTCCCGCTCGGGCTGCAGCTCGCGCTGTCCCCGGCTCAGCCGCGCGGGATGCCGCCCGGGCGGAGCGGTGACGTCACCGCCATGCTCTGCACCAGTCCCCCTCCTCCCCTTTACACTTCCTCTGTCTGTAGAGCCCACTTGTTGCATAGAGAACGCGCATGCCCGGCATGCAGCCCAGATTCCTCTCAGCCTTTTCCCCTCCTCCCCCTTTTCCCCGCCCTCCCCGGACTCTTGTGTGTATAACAGCTGAAGCAATGCAAGTTAATGCTGGAAATCAAGTGAAGAAATACCCAGGGCTATGTTTGGAAATTAAACAGAAGATGATCTTTCTCTCCCCTCCCTTCCCCAGCCGATGCCCGGCTTTCCAATGTGAAAATGCATTCAGGAAACATGCATCATTCCCCCCCGCCTCGTGAGTTCAAACGTCTCATTTCAGAATTTTAGCTGTAAATTTCATAAGAGACATTGCCCATCACATTTAGAGTTTTCTAACAGGGATCAAGCCATTTTCCGTGCGGGTATTTTATATAGTTGTACACTGTTAATGCCAAAATGCACAGCACCAACAAAATTAGCTATTTAGCAGTGTCATTCTGTGTTTCCTGTTTGATGGTTTCCATTCTTGATCAAGGGACCATAGGAACTGGAGTTTCAATGAATGATGGTGGTGGAGACAGACTGAGCTATCTCATTTTTCTTTTCTGGCACAGAGTGGCCCAGCAGATGCTGAGTCGTGAAACCAGGGAGCTGTGTCACCTGGGCTTTTTGTATAGTTGAAGGGTGCTGGAGAGGCCAAACAGGTGAGTAATTTATGTGTTTGCTAATGGAAAGGAAAACAGGATTCCCTCCTTTTAATAACAATAATACATTGTATTTTTAGAACTCAAGCTCATTTGATAGTGCCGTGAGAAAGGCAAAACATGGCCATTCTGCCTCCTTGCTGAGAATGTCCTTTGCTCAAGACACTTACCTTATAGCACAACAAACACTTTGCTCAAATCAGCCTATGTTAATGTGTTTAAGAGGTTCCAGTCAAATCATGGACAGGAAGGAGGAACTTCTCTTGAAAATGCACTATTGAAAACAAGAAAATACTCTTTTGGTAGGGATTCTTTAGAACATATGGCAGTCTCATCCTGCCCTCCCCCCTTATGCCACTCTCAGGACTACCTTCTCAGAACCTCAGCCTTATTGCACCACCTTGGAGCTTCAGCTCCTAGGGGAAAAATTTTATAAGGGAAGGAGCAGTAAGGGTAAAGATGGCTCTGGGGACCCCTGCCTTTTATTCCCTCTGCACTCGGTTTCTGTTTTTGCAAAACAATGAAATTGCTGTCCACTCCCCAACAAAAATAAACTTTCACTGCCAGGCCTGCCTGGATCATGGCAATTATTTTTCTACAAAGGGCTGCAAACAGAGTATTGCATCACTCACACATACTTCAGTCTTTGCAATGTAACCGGTTACCCCAGGGTGAGTCAAAATATATGAGGGTGTGTGAAGGGGGAGGATTGTGTGACATTCCCATGAACCTGGAGGACATTAGTTACTTGTTTAACCCACTTCTGTATCTTAGTAGGTATTCAGCCCATCCTTATATTTAACCAAAACGTTAGAAAATGACAATTTACCTTCTCTTTGCCAAGATTTATGTGAGGAGCTCATTTTATCTCACAGTGATGTTTGCTATGTGAATACATGTCTGTGTCTATATAATAACTTTGGGGACATATATGTATCATATATGTACTCATATGCAGACATAGACATATCGTATGCACATCAGTAGGAGGTGGAAATAAATCATACTTCCATTGTGTTCTCATAATCTTTTAATTTAAAAAAGTGTTATTTCTCCAGATGAAGCTTCCCCCCCCCTTAGGAATTACCACCATTTATCATTCCTGCATCTTAATTGACTGTCTGAGGCGTCCTCAGCTTGGGGGGTGGAGGTGGTGTGGTGTGCTAGAACCAGGGGGATAGGGACATATAATTCGTACAGGAACAGGAGTAGGTACATCAACAGCGTATTTCAGTGTCGGGTTTTTGGACAAAAGGGAATACTCCGAGAATCTTGCCGCAGAAGCGGGTGGAAAGAAGGGTAAGAGGGAGTGGGTCCCAGACTTTAAACAGCAGTAGTGCATCTTATTAACAAAATTAGGTAGCTTAGTCACCGGGGATACCAAGTGAAGTGCCCCTTACGTCTTAGGGCATAAATCCTACGGCAGCCCTCACCCTAGGTGAGGTGGACCCCATCAGAAGCATTATTTCAAACACTTCTGAACCAACAGCCTCGACTCCCTTTTCCATCCTCCTTACTTAACGAGTGGGTTGTTTCGGCTAGGGAGAAAGCTGAGGGCGCAATGACTGAGCTCTCTGCGGGCGGGGCTTCCATGGGACACTTGGGAGAGCTCACTCGACTAAACCACTGTGTTTTGGGCCCAGAATCGGGGCAAAAGGTTTCCCCAGAGTTCGGGTGGCTGATTGGTTGATTTTCAGAGGAGGGAACGGGCTAATGTTTGGTATAGAGATGTAAACACTCTGAAAAAGCCCCTTCTCAGCCCAGTTGCCCACGCGTCCAGGTAGCTCCTCATCCTCTTTCCCGACTTTGGGCACACACTGGATCTTGTCATCTCTTCTTGCCCTCCACTCTCCTGTTCTCCTGCCGACTTCTCCACGCGGCGCCACTGCTTTATCCGGCTGGCACTAATAAAAATACGTTAAAAAAAAAAAAGGCTCTCCCTCTCTCTCTCTCTCTTCCTGAACCTCCCGTCACCCCTGGGCTATTCACTCCGCTGAGAGCTCTTCCGAGAAAGGCCTTTTTTGGAAACACTCACCCCTCTGTAAACGAGGCCGACTAGACTCACAAGGGCCGCCTTTATAGTGGATGTAAATAATAAGCACCTTAGATAGGATCAGGCCTCGCCGATCCCTCACGGGCTGTGTCAGCTCCTAGTGGCCCGGCAAGTGAATGCAGGAGCCTGTACATCCATGGACATATAGGTTGGGGGAGGGGAGGAAGGGGTTGGGGATTAGCACACGTGTGAAATCAGCAACTGGGACGAGACCGAACCATGATTTACTTTTGCTAACAGGACGTGTTGTGGGGCGGAAGTGTGTTTGCTTTTCCGTAATGATTAATCTTGGATTTTTTTTTTTTACTTCGGCCAGGGCTGGGGTTACGCAAGAGCCACTCGAGCGTGAAATCCCAGCACTAACACGGGCTCGCAGCAGGACCTGCGATCTGAAAATCAGGAAGAGAGGAGCCTGTGCCTCCGAAATCTGCCAAGCCAGGCTGCGTGCTAGCGGAGCGGGGGCTCTCGGGGGGTAAAGTCGGCTGGAAGGAGAAAATGAAATCTTGATGGTGGCGCTGGCCGTGCAGCTGCAAGAGAAGATCAAATCTCTGACTACATTCTTCCGGGGGAGGGGGCCAAGTGAGGGAGGGGGAAAGAAAGGGGTGTCGTGTCTGGTTCCTGCCTCTCGGTCCTCCCTTCCCAGCTTCCTCCCCTTGCCACTTTGCCAGGGCATCAGGGGAAACCAGAGTTGTCCTCAGCAAAAGCTGGTGTGTTTACTTAGATCTGGAAATAAAGAAATCCTGGAATGAGCCTAACGGGATGGGGTCGGGGGGGGGCGATGAGGGAGGAGCAGGGAGAAAAGGGAAGCACTAGACAATGATACTATTCAGACGCTTGGTTGAGTTAAAACAAATACACTAGCAGAGGGGCGAGGGTGGAGGGGAATAGTGAGATGGGGAGGGGGAAAAAACAACACTGGGGTCGACTTTTGAAGAGGAGAGCGGTGGAGGGGTATAGGCTGAGTAGCAGTCGATCCACGTGCCTTCTGGGTCTGAACCCCGAATGACTACCGGGAACTTGGGGAGGAGAGGCGGCGAAGATGCAAGAACTCCCCAACAGCCTTGGAGCTAAATAAGCTTCACTGTGGCGGGGGATTTCCAGGGTTACTGTGTCAGAGACCCTTCTCCGAGTCTTTCAATCTGGGGCGAAGAGAGTGACCTCAAACTGGGAAGCCCAGGCGCTCATCTCCCTGCGTGCTCTCCATCCCCTTTTTACTTAAAAATCTCGAAGCAGCAGCTAACTAGTGCTGCAATCCAGGTAGGTGCATTAAATATTCAAATAGCCCCAACTGATAGGGTGACTCGGAAACAGGGAATCTGTCCCAAGATAACTTGTGCGGTCTCCCCTCACGAAAGCCCCAGGGGCAGCAAAAAAGGCACCAGTTTTTTTGACCAGACCAAGGCTACCATAAGGTGACGTCAGGGACTTAACGGGATGGGGTCGGGGGGAGGGGGAGATGGAGCAAAGATTTAGGATCTCCATTATTTTAAATTAACACCATGCAAATTAGATCCAAAGAGGGGGTCTAATCACCTACTATTTTTGAGTCGTTAACCACACTCGGATGGCTGGCTCTAGGCAAAACAGTGAAGCAATAATTTCACATTTATATAGCGCGTTAACGTTTGTAAAGAGCATCCCTTTCCAACCCAGCGCCATCCTGCATATTCTTCCCTCGGGCGGAGTGTTCTGAAGAATTTGTTCACACTGAAGTGTTAGGGACTTTTTGTGTTACACTCCTCCACCTCGTTTTTTGCATTTTAAAAGGGGACCCCGGGGTGAGAAAGATACTTAGCAAAGGAATGAATCCTAATGGTGGAATTTCGGGGGGGCGGGGGAGGACGCTTATTTTGGGGAGGAGCACCAGTCTCCTGCCGTAAGTCTCCGGCAACCTCTGCCCAACGCTTTCTTTAACTTGAACTTACCCGCTGGTTTTGAATGATAAAAGGAAATAAATCTCGGGTTGAGCTAGAAATTGTGAGAAATAATGATTAATGAGAATGGGAAGGAAAATTGGCTTCCTGTTTCCATTCCAGCCCAGCTAGTCATCTAATCCCACCACACATTCTTCCTGCAGATTCCCCACCTTAAATTTAAGACTAGAGAGAAACAGAGACTTTCCATTCAAGGCTTAAGCAGCTTTTGTACAACTGGAATATTTGCCCAACAGTTGGAGATCTTGAACCTGTCCAGCACCTTTTGCAGTCCCTACTATGTTCGTGGGCTTGATCGCCAGACCCTCAGATCGCGCCACCCCTTTAGCCATGAGGTTACCTTCTGAAGTTCTTTCCAGATCTATATCTTGGGCTGAGGATCTTTATTTGGTGATCTTTAGATGGCCCGGCTTGATCTGGAGATTTGGGATTGAGTAATCTGTCTCTAGATTTACTTCTCTTCCCTACTAAATCCCCTAGCAAAAAGAGCAGCAGTCTAGTTCTGTGATCTATTTTGTGTTTGTTTCTTGATTATGCTTGGAGAAATCCCATAGTGACCTTTCTGACCCTCAGTTTCCCCGTAAGTTAAATGGAGATAATGTTACCTGTTCTAGCCACCTCGAAGATCAAAAGATATAATAAATGTCGGCGGAAGCACTTTGCAAAGTTTAAAGCGTTATAAAACGCAAGGTGTTAATTACCTTTTCAGTTCCACAAACAGCTAGGTAAAATTGTTGCGCAGAAGTATTCCGTAGGCACTAACCAGGGAATAGTATTTTTCAAAAACACTTTCTTAGGGTTAGGCACCTGCAGAAAGGGCATTTCCCTCCGAGGAAGACTGACAGCTACGGGTTTGTGGAGGGGAAACCAGGGAGTTAAGTATCTGGAGGCTAGTCTAACATCTTTTGTGGGCTTGCTGTATTGAGGCCAAATAAGAAAGCCTTGTCCCTTAACCTCGGGGCTTTAGAGAGAGAAAACGGCAACATTACAAGACCTGAGACCTGTCTTTTGCTCTCCTATTTTGTGTGTCCCCAGATTGGGTGAGGCTTTTTCTTTTCCACAAACCTACTGGAAGTGAATTTAGGGATTGATGAGTTTGCTTGGGGTTGCTGCTTTTTGCTTTGGTCAATTTAAAGATGAATAGTCATCGACCTCTTCTTTAAAAACAGAACTGACAGGAAGTGTCAAAACAGTGAGTAGCAAAGAAAAAGAATGTAATTATGTGTATTATATTTATCATTCTCGATTTAATTAAATTCAGCAGAGAGCACTTCAGAATTTCTTGGGCCCAGGGCAGTAAAGAAGTCCTTGGGGTCGAACGGTGTGGGTAAATAGAGATGTGAGGGAGGGTGCTGATTGGATTTGGGAAGAGGATTTTCCTTTTTGGCTATTAGGCTGGTTTCTCTACTTTATTTTATTTTATTTTTTATTCCTTTTGTATATGGTAATCAATTAGTTATCCTTTTATTCTGTGGCATTGCAGTCTCCTCAGTGACATTTTCCAATCTGTCACTCTGCACATTTTTTTATTACCAGTTTTCTCCCCCTCCCCCTTTTTCATATTACTAGTTTTCTGCCTCGATGCCCACACAATAACCTTCAATAAAGCAAAATCCAACTTCCTTGCCTAACAAGTTCTGTTACCAGTAGCCTACATCTACCACCACAGAACAGTTCCCATTCTTTTATTTTTTTCCCCATTCCTTTCTACAGAGCTCTGGTTTCTACAGAGCTCTGGTTTTTCCTCTTATGCCTTACAGAACTTCTACCTCCATCCCATTCTTACACTTTCAAGGCTGCCTGGGTCCTCTTTCTGCTGAGCCAACTCCCTGTGGATCCCGACTCATTTCATAGACTTTATAGAGAAAGAACCTTAGATTTCAGGACCTTCAAAATGAGTCAGGCCTCCCTATTCTGTTTTGGGCATCCACTCTCTGAGCTGGAAACTTCACAGGTGTATTTGAGGTTGTTACCCACCTCCATATCCTTTCCCAAGTTAATAATGTTCATCGAAAGTCCTGAATGAAGTGAACATGACATGCAGAAATTATGAAATGACTGTCTGGGTACATACTTAAAGGAAAGAAGTAGGAGTCACCCTCAAATATATCTCCGCCAAATTAGAGCTGCGTGTTTTTTGTATAGCCTGTCAAAGGTTAGATTAGTTGGAAGCAACGTCATTTTCCTCAGGCCCTGCTCTCCTAACATAGGAACTCCCCCTCCCAATCCCTTTACTATCCTTAATCAGTTATCTATTTTTATCTGACAGATTTTTTTTTTTTTTGGTCAAAACCAGCAGCCAAGCAACATAGTCCCATTTCTAGATGCTACCACTGAGAATGGAAAACTTTACTGCATTTGGAGTGAAAAAAATCAAGTTTAAAAAGACCAATAATTTTGGTTATTTGACAAGACTATAATATAAAGAGTTTCTTTTCCCCAGGTTTCCCTTTTGGTGAGATTGAGAAGAGAATTGAATGTTTCATTAACACTCATCCCTTCTTCTTCCCCCTCCCCCATCTTTCTCTACCAAGCTTCCCATCTGATGACTTAATAGTATTGACTGGCTTTTAATTCTGATTAACACTCTCAGCTGTCAGGAGGGAGATGCTAGAAGGACACACACAGACTGTACTGTCCAACAAATACATAGATATCTGGAGAATTTTCTTTACTTCCCTTTTCCCCATCCCTTTGAAATGACATTAAGTTGGGCAGAGACGAGGAGAGAAAAGGTAGAATAAAGACAGAAGGGAGGAGGGGGTGGAGGAAGGAAATAACAACAACAAAAAAAGCAATTTACTTTCTTTTCTAAGGCAGCTAGTAAAATTCCTAAGGGAGATCAAATGCCAAAATTGACTGTCTTGGTATATTTTAGACCAGATTGCTTGGGTGAATCATGTCAGGGTTTCAAGCTGTACCCTAGAGAGACTGGGAGTCATGAAGAAGAGCACGAAACATCTTTGAGGTTGGGAGGTAACCCTCCAGAAAGGCAGGAGGGGTGTGTGTTTGCTCCAGTGCTAACCCATCCAATCACCCTCAGGATCTGCCTCCCCCCCATTCATTGCAAGACATGCTGGGCCTGGGGGAGAGGAAAGAATAGGGAATACAGCAAAGAAAAAACAAAACAAAACAGGAAAGCAGCTATAAAACATGGTCCCCAAAGGAAAGGTGCAAAATCCATTTGAGCCAGAGATGGAGATATCTCCACCCTGGGTTTTTTTTCCCTCATTTGCTTTACAACTCTGCAGACATCAGGTTAGCAAAAGGTAATAAATAGTCTTTGCACAGTGGGATCCAGACTAGTGAAAACAGTTTACTGAAATTAATGGGCCTGGCTTGAACCAAAACCTCCACTTTGGAATTAATGCCAGACATAGTTTTCCTGAACTCTATCCAACTGCCTGAGCGACAGACAATTTTCATTCTATTTGTACTAAAGGCTTATGACTAGTGCTGGAAAATAAAGCCTGGGCCCTTGATCTCCCTGTACATTAAAAACATTTTTAATTATATATTTTAAAAATTAAGAACAGGGAGAGTACTGTGCCAATTCATGGATTCTGCCAGCAGAAGTCCTAGTGTTCTGGGCAATATGTGGTTGTCAGAAATTCTCATGAAAACTCTCCATTTAAAAGCCAGCCTTCATTCTCCTCCACCCCCAACTCCCCACTTCCTTTTCTACAGCATTCACCCAGGGATTGGTCTCAGAGATTCTCCCCATCTTAGCAAAATACTGGGGAGGGAGGGACAAGGGGAGAAAAAGTGGCAACCACTAAGACATTGTCCACTTGTCTCAGGAAAGTATCACCACTTGGTAATAATTTGTAATGAATGATGCTTAAATGATACTGTAAACGACAGAGCCAAAGCTGGTTTTTTTCCTCCTTGCCGCCTTTCCTCCGCTGCCGGGCTATCTGCAGATCTAGGCAGCCGTTTCTGTAGGATGCAAACACACATCTCATTTGCCTCCCCCTGCGTGCGCGGGGGCGCGCTCGCACACACACACACACACACACACACACACACAGAGACACCAGCAGCAGCAGCATTTTACAGGTACAGGGAATCCACTGTGCCGCCTTCAGCTAGCCAGTTAACCTGAAACTGCTTTTCCTTTTCCTTTTCTCCCCCCTTCTCCCTGGATTATTAATAAAAACAGAATCCCAGGCAGCCGGCTGGGTGTTTGCTTTCACTGTACAATCTGCACTTGTGACACAGGACATGTGGAAAATTTTGAGTGCACTGCAGTGAATGGTATGGGGAGGGAGAAGGAGAAGGAGCGTGAGGAGAGGGAGGAGGGGGGTGAGTGTGGAGGGAAAA